ACTCAGTTGCTCAGTCGGTGGTGTGAGTGATGTGCAACAGATCAATGATGAGAATTGTGTCTCTGTTGAGTCTCCTCTGGTCTCTGGTGGAGGTCCACTCTCAGAGCTTTCCTTATGTCTCCTTCATGAGCCAGACTCTGGCCAACAATTCCTATGTGGACATCAGTCAAGTGGGGAGACCTGACCGTGGTGGTGACGGTGTTCAGTGTCATACTGACCTGAGCCATTGTTGTAGTGGTCCTCAGGGTCCTCATCGTGGGGATTGGTATTTCCCTGATGGAGATAGATTGCCATTCCCTGCAGATGGTGATATCTATGAGTTTCGTGATGCTCAGAGAGTTGACCTACGTCGTAGGAACAATGCTAACTCACCAACTGGTATCTATCGCTGTGACATTCCAACTAATGCTGTCCATGATGATACTGACATCTCAGTGAGAGACACAGTCTATGTGGGACTGTATACTGCCAGTGGAGGTAAATTTAATTATTGGCTACTTCCATTTCTTGTTAGTTATCAGCTAGCATGAATGCATCTATAATTTACCTCTTTTGTCCACATGCATGCCTATTCCAGCAAACTCATTCACTCACTTAACGTTACTATGTTTTGCTGATTAGCCTTAGGCTTTGGTTCTTTACTGTAGGAGATATCTCAATATCTGGAGGATTGATATTTGACCCTAGCCAGCTGACTCTCACCTGTATCTCCACTGGTGGACCTGCTACCACTGTCACTTGGACCAGAAACAATGTCAATATCGCTGGAGAACCAGACGAGACTGTGTTGAATGACCCAGTGACTGCACAGTACACCCACACTCTGACTGTGACTACTGCAGGAGAGTACACTTGTACTGTGGCTAATAACAAGCCATCTTCTGCTTCAGCTAGCACCACTGTAGCAGGTATGTCCGCAAATCACTGTTTTTGCATGCAGGCTAAAAACCAACGAATACTAGAACATTTTTGGCAAGTGAAGCAAGCAGTTCTATTATTATGCACGCATTATAGTATGTGCCCCTGCATTTAGATAGGCTTGCTTTGCTCGCCAATTATATGAAATGAGGACATAGATGCACATTTAACTCTCAGTGTTGACAGAGCTACGGGTATATACTCTCCAAGTACTTGTGAACCACTTAAAGTTTGGGCAATAAAGTAATCCGCTCAATATTAATAGTTGTAAAGGTGTTACTATAGCCAAAGGTCGGCAGGTCAACAGCATGATTTCCTCAATATTACAAATTGAAAGTTCCCATGGATACGCTTCAGGTCCCTATATACTTCCCAATGGTATAGTATCATTGGGTGCTTCGCTTTCAGGTCCCCCATCTCCCACTGATGTGACTACTGAGTCAGCATGTTCAAAACCAATCACCATAGCTGATTCACTTTGATACTCCTGATCCAACACAAGTTGACATTTTCTTTCCGCTATTCCAGAGCAGATTGCTAGATATACGACTGTCATGTGCTGACCTTGAACAGAAGGAGTGGGGAGGGGCCTAGGCTCCAAACACCAAATGTCTGGGCATGGTCAGCACATACCAGTGGCAAAGCCTTGTGGGGATGAATCTCATTAGTTCAGAACCACAAGTCCTGCGCTCATGTCACCTTTTATAACTCGTGATGCCAGAGAGAGAAGTTGCGGTATGCTCTGCTGATGAGGGCCAACAAGCCCGAAACAGCTGTCCAGAGCTCCACATCTTTTTTTTCTCTTGGCATCACATGGTATTATCTATATGTGACATTAAGGTGGCAGCACATGAATCTGTGGCTATCAAGCCATGTGCACGCAGTATGTACGGTTAGCACAACTGACGTTAACTACAGACCCTTCTTTACCTCACAGAGGGGTGGGGTCTGGGAACAAGACTTGTTGGACAAACTACAGTAGTTATGTGCGTTCCTTCACTCCTGTAGGAACTGGACCTTCAACTAATGTGGCAGCTATACAGACGAATCCCACTAGTATCCTAGTGTCTTGGAGTCCATCCAGTGATGCCACTGGCTACACCATCTCCTTCACTGGAGGAGGGAGCAGTGGTAGTGAGCCTGTCAGTGGTGGAGATACCAACAGCTACACTCTGACTGGTCTTACCAATGGACAGACCTACACCATATCCATTGTAGCCACATCATCTGGCTTGTCTAGTGCACCAGTACTGGTCAATGTTGGTTTAGGTATGCAAACTAGTGTTTGTACAAGTATCAAGCAGGGAGAAGGCAGAGCCATCTACACCTGTTCAGTATACTCTGTGGTCGTCTCATTCTCTTCCCACCAGATGGACTGACTGTATCAGCCACTCCTCATCCTCTACCTCCCTCGCCATCTCCATGGACACTGGAGGACAGTTTTGACTGCTACCTCATACACCATCTCCTACTCCAACATCAACACTGACTGTTTCACTGACTCCAGAAGTGATATCTCTGCTAGTGGGACATCACACACTCTGACTGGTCTAGAGGAGGGAACTGAGTATTCTATCACTCTCACTGCCACTCTGACTGGGAATGGAGGGACTCAAGAAGGCAGCACCACAGCCACCACACTGACTGCTGGTCAGTATCCTAGTATTTCCCTCTGTCTGTTCCCATATTCTGATATCTCTATACCCACAGCTCCGTCTGTACCTCCTCCTGGTGTGACTGTAACTGATGTGAATTCCTCCTCCATCACTGTCCAGTGGGGGAGTGTGCCATGTATCCATCAGAATGGAGCCATCACAGGCTACTCAGTCCAATATGGAGTAATGGGGAGTGGGAACACAGAGACTGTGACTGTTGATGGAGCTAGTACCACTCAGACCACCATCCCTGGTGTCAATCCATCCACTACCTACTCCATCCAAGTAGCGGCAGTCAACAGTGCTGGTACTGGAGTCTACAGTGATCCAGAAACTCTTCAAAGTGAGGCTGATAATGTGAATTAGAAAAGCATAGTCATGATGTACTGTTAACCCTTGGCGTGAATGCCCAAACACTGCTCAATATTATGTTCTGTCACTGACTCATTCTCCATTCATCAGTGGGTGTTCCAGAGAAACCAACTGTAGATATGGACAGCATTGAGACCACACCCACTACAATAACTCTCTCCTGGAGCCTTCCTCGTAATGTAACTGGCTCTGAGGTGAGCTGGGAGCTAACAGAGCAGACGAGAAGAAGAAGAGGAGTCCGCAATGCTGAGGGAGGGACTAGTGGACAACTCGCTGCAGACCAGAACAGCTACACTATCGACAAGCTGAGGAGTGGAACTAGCTTATGACATCACTGTCACAGTCTTCAACCCTGCTGGGAGCTCTTCCACCACCTTTACTCGCTCTACTGAGGGAGGAGGTGAGTTTCAGAGACATTTCACTCAGAAACACAACTCTACAGTCACTGCAATGAATGATAATAAAACAGATAATTTATATAAGTATGGGAGTATAGCCACTGTCAGCATAAAACATAAGTAGAGAAACTATGGGAGTGCTGTCATGCCTCTGGTGGTAACGATATTCAATCATTTCCAGTGATTGATGCTAACCAGGCGGAGAGTACTAGCAACACTTCTGCCATTATTGGTGGAGTAGTGGCTGTGGCTGTTGCCTTTATGATCATAACTTCACTGACAGTCATAGTGGTAGTGATTCTAGTGCTGAGAAGTCGCAGTGGAAATTACTCTGCAAAAACAAGGCACGACCATACACTCTTACATTAGTATGACATAATAATTATGTCATTGTATTTGATACAGAGCTACAGTTGGAGCTACAAATCAATCAGTGGAGCTCTCCAAGCTCTCAGAGCCAACATATGCGTAAGTCTCCCCATATGAAACACTGTGAGATGATTTCTAGACCACTGATGGCCTCACTCCAGAGAACCAGACCAGTTCCATACCACCCGTAATGAGGCCTACAATGTAGTGAGAGGGACTGGAAGGACAGTTGAAGATGATTATGAAGTACCACAAAACCTTCCTCCCTCCACCACCTCTCAACAACCTACCACTACTGCTACTGGAGACTATGAACTAGTGTGACTGTGGACATGACTGGTACTGCCCTCCCCTGAACATTGTTTTTGCAGTATGAATGTCAGTAGCTACTATGTCAGTTTGTACACCTTTACAGAAAGCATTCTGTTTGTAGTTTACCAGTTTACGTTTACCTTTGTGGGCATTGTTTCATCTCCTAATATGTGCATGGTAAAAAACCAGCAGAGCGCGTAATTATAGATACACTTGACTTGCACAGCACGTTTAGAGATCAACACAATGTACCATGATGTACTATTATATCTATTTATGTTGAGTCTCCTCTGGTCTCTGGTGGAGGTCCACTCTCAGACCTTTCCCCGTCTCTCTTTCATGGGCCAGACTCTGGCCAACCATTCCTATGTAGACATCAGTCAAGTGATAATATACTTCCAGATCCCCCATCTCCTACTGAGACATTTCAGTCATAAACACTGTCATTACCACCAGTGGAGAAAACTATGGAGTGCTGTCATGACACTAGTTGTAATGATGTTTTATTGTCATTCATTTCCAGTGATTGATGCTAACCAGACAGAGAGTACTAGCTGTGAACGCTTGTTTTCACGCCATATCTCTGGAAGCGTCAGTGGTCAGGAAAATCGCCACATTTCCTCTTTGTTCACAACCCGTTGGTGCCACTCATTGGCCGCTTCGTAGCCTGTAGTGCGAGAACTCGCGCGGACAGACAGACAGCAAGCAGACAGACCAAGTACAGTAACCTTCGCTGCGCATGCGCGCCGAGGGTTAATAATGGCAGAAGTGTGGCCAACGTGCGTGCGGTCGATCGCACACGCGCCCTCTCCGGCATGCGTACATGCACGCGTCATGTCAATTGTGCGCTTCGTCCGGAGCATGCGCTACGGCCCACACTGTTGTGAGGCTTCGTCAGTGGATGTGAGGATACACATGCTGAGTCAGTATAAAGTAATCTTCGCAATGTAGCACAATAGTTCATAAGATTAGTGCTGAGCCAGCTTGTGATGCGCCATTCCTTCATCTATAAACATCTGCGAGGCATTCATTTCCAGTGATTGATGCTAACCAGACAGAGAGTACTAGCTGTGAACGCTTGTTTTCACGCCATATCTCTGGAACGCAGTCGTTTCAGGAAAATCGCCACATTTCCTCTTTGTTCACAACCCGTTGGTGCCACTCATTGGCCGCTTCGTAGCCTGTAGTGCGAGAACTCGCGCGGACAGACAGACAGACAGCAGACAGACCAAGTACAGTAACCTTCGCTGCGCATGCGCGCCGAGGGTTAATAATGGCAGAAGTGTGGCCAACGTGCGTGCGGTCGATCGCACACGCGCCCTCTCCGGCATGCGTACATGCACGCGTCATGTCAATTTTTCGCCGGAGCATGCGCTACGCCACATTGGTTGTAGGCTTCTCTTTGGATAAACATGCTGAGCAAGGTATATTCGCAATGTAGCATAATAGTTCAGGTGGCGAGCAGCTTGTGGATGCAGCCATGCCTTCCCATCTATAAAACATCTGGCGAGAGCATTGGAGCACAGAAGAGCGGATATATTGAATAAAGCAAATATGAGAGCCTCTGAAACACCTGAGCAATTGCTTTAACCAACTACCCTGTGTTACGGGGAGACTCGTGTTACTGGCTCCGTCGTCCGCCAGCATACGGAGATACTACAACTCTCGCGCGTTTAGCGCCGAGGGTTTGCACTTTAGTGCTTTTCATTGGTAGAGTAGTGGGTGTGGCTGTGGTTCTTATAATCGCTACTTCACTGACAGTCATAGTGGTAGCGATTCTAGTGCTGAGAAGTCGCAGTGGAAATCACTCTGCAAAAACAAGGCAAGATCATACACTCTTACATTAGTATGACATAATAATATGTCATTGGTTGATACAGAGCTACAGTTGGAGCTACAAATCAATCAGTGGAGCTCTCTAAGATCTCAGAGCCAACATATGTGTAAGTCTCTTCATATGAAACACTGTGAGGTGATTTCTATACCACTGATGGCCTCACTCCAGAGATCCAGACCAGCTCCAGACCACCAGTAATGAGGCCTACAATGTAGTGAGAGGGACTGGAAGGACAGCTGAAGATGATTATGAAGTACCACAAAACCTTCCTCCCACCACCACCTCTCAACCTACCCCTACTACTGCTGCTGGAGACTATGAACCTGTGTGACAGTGGACATGGCTTGTGCACAGAGCCCTCCTTTGAACATTGTTTTTGCTACATTATGAATGTCAATACCAGTTTGTACACCTCAACAGAAAGAATTGTTTTTACCAGTTTACATTTACTTTCATGGGTATAGTTTCATCTCCTGATATGTAACACACCAGCAGAGAGTATATACATGACAGACTTTCTCTCTACACTATGTGTACTACTCGTGGGCATTAATGACACATCCTGTTATTATAAAGCTGCTAAAACATGGGTGTTAGGTCTATAAAATTATGCCTGGAATTTTCTGCTTTCCATATTATGTCCACATTAGGAGTGTTTTATCTCTGCTATCCATCAGCCTGTGATAACTCAGTTGCTCAGTCAGTGGTTGTAACAGATCAACGATGAGATTTGTGTCTCTGTTGAGTCTCCTCTGGTCCCTGGTGGAGGTCCACTCTCAGACCTTTCCTTATGTCTCCTTCATGGAACAGACTCTGGCCAACCATTCCTATGTGAACATCAGTCAAGTGGGGAGATATTACATTAGTGGTGATGAAGGTGTTCAGTGTATCACTGACCTGAGCACATGTTGTACTAGTAGTGATGGTTCTCATCGTGGAGACTGGTATTTCCCTGATGGAACTAGACTGCCTTTTCCCGTACTTGGTGATACCTATGAGGATCGTGGAACTCAGAGAGTTGGCATATGGCGTAACAGTGGTGCTAACTCACCAACTGTTGGCATCTATCGCTGTGATATTTCAACTAATGCTACCCATGATGATACTAACACCTCAGTGAGAGACACACCAGTCTATGTGGGACTGTATCCTGCCAGTGGAGGTATGAGAAGAGTAACTTACTCTTTATAGAGTATACTATATTTGCCAGTACCATGTGTGACTGTGCTAATGGAGATTCTGCTGCATTTTGTTCAGGAGATGTTTCAATATCTGGATTGACATTTGACCCTAGCCAGCTGACCCTCATCTGCATCTCTACTGGTGGACCTGCTACCACTGTCACTTGGACCAGAGACTCCACCACTGTCACCCAAGGAACCCAGACTGTGTTGGATGACCCAGTGACTGCACAGTACACCCACACTCTGACTGTGACTACTGCAGGAGAGTACACTTGTACTGTGGCTAATAACAAGCCATCTTCTACTTCAGCTAGCACCGCTGTAGCAGGTACACTGTGTGCACACATGTTTGTGTCTGTTATACTATCTAGTTTTTACCCAGACTTTTACCAGGGGCGGATCCCCCCCTCGTCTGGTCTATATGACGTCATGCTGCCCTGACTACACGCGCGCTCGAACTTGAGCGCTCCCGCGGCCACGCCAACCGCAAACGTTTTTCCTGGATCCTTGGCTACATGACGGCGCTTACTTAGCACAGCACCTGCTCGCGTAAGGCTGCTCTCTCGTCTCTAGCTCTCGCGATCGTGGCTACGCGTGTTGTGTATCACTTAGCTATGAACCGCTCTATTGGCAATCTCGACGAACGTGGTTCCGGTAAAGACATTTCTTCCGGTATGTAGACCTACCAACAGGAAAAACGGGAATGCGCGAAGGGATCCTTGCGCATGCGCAACATTTGCCCCCTCCCAAACAAAATCCTGCATCCGCCACATATGTACTGTGTCTAATATTGCTTTCTCTGCTTCCGCTACTATCCCATTAGAAGGTATATTATTATGTGTAAAAGCTGATTTTATCAGGCAAGTTCTCCAGGAACATCACCTCCCACTGCTGTGACAGCAGTCCAGGATGGTCCCACTAGTATCCTAGTGTCTTGGGGTCCATCCAGTGATGCCACCGGCTATAGAATTGACTATGATGGTGGAGGCATTCATGACAGTGAAGAGCTCAGTGCTGATTCTACACGTTTGAAACTTACTGATCTTACTATTGGAGAGACCTACACCATATGCATTGTAGCTACGTCTCCAAACCAACTGGCAAGTTCCTCCATCATGAAACAAGTTGGACTAGGTGAGTCATAGGAAGGAAGTATAGTGTGTGACTTTTGACCTGTGTTCAATTCTGCAGTGTCGACTCCAGCCCAGCCAGTGGTGGACACCAATGCCGTTGTGGCCACAGCAGATGAAATAACTCTCTCCTGGAGCCTTCCTCCTGATGTAACTGGCTCTGAGGTGAGCTGGGAGCTAACAGAGCAGACAAGAAGAAGAAGACGAATTCGCAATGCTGAGGGAGGGACTAGTGGACGACTCCCTGCAGACCAGAACAGCTACACTATTGGTGACCTGAGGAGTGGAACTAGCTATGACATCACTGTCACAGTCGTCAACCCTGCTGGGAGCTCTTCCACACCTTCACTCGCTCTACTGAGGGAGGAGGTGAGTTTCAGAGACAATTCACTCAGAAACACAGCTCTACAGTCACTGCAGTAAAAGGCAATGAATGATAATTGAATATCATTACCACCAGTGGAGAAAACTATGGGAGTAGCCGCTGTCAGCATAAAACATAAGTAGAGAAAACTATGGGATGCCACTGATATTCAATTGTGTTTTATTGTCATTCATCTCCAGCGATTGATGCCAACCAGGCAGAGAGTACTAGCTGTGAATGTGACAACACTTCAGCCATTATTGGTGGAGTAGTTGCTGTGGGTTTCTTATAATCGCTACTTCACTGACAGTCATAGTGGTAGTGATTCTAGTGCTGAGAAGTCGCAGTGGGAATTACTCTGCAAAAACAAGGCAGGATCATAAACTCTACATTAGTATGACATAATAATTATGTCATTGGATTTGATACAGAGCTAAGGTTGGAGCTACAAATCAATCAGTGGAGCTCTCCAAGCTCTCAGAGCCAACATATGTGTAAGTCTCCCCATATTATGAAACACTGTGAGCTGATTTCTATACCACTGATGGCCCCACTCCAGAGACCCAGACCAGCTCCTGACCACCAGTAATGAGGCCTACAATGTAGTGAGAGGGACTGGAATGACAGCTGAAGATGATTATGAAGTACCACAAAACCTTCCTCCAACCACCACCTCTCAACAACCTACCACTACTGCTACTGGAGACTATGAACCTGTGTGACTGTGGACATGGCTTGTGCTCCCCTGAACATTGTTTTTGCTACATTATGAATGTAAATACTATGTCAGTTTGTACACCTCAACAGAATGATATGTTTGTAGTTTTTGACCAGTTATGTTAACTTTCGTGGGCAGCGTTTCATCTCCTAACTTGTGCATGCTAACCCACCAGCAGAGCACATAATAGGTGCAACACATTTAGTGAGCGACACAATGTACATGGTGTGTGTGTGTGGTGTCTACTTATGTTGGGTCTCCTCAGACTCTGGCCAACCATTATATGTCAGGGATGATAGCAGTGGTAGCTAGTGTCTCACTGACCTAAACTCATGTGGTAGTGATTCTCAGGGTATCCGATTGTATGACACCACATCCTGTTATTATTATAATATTATTTTAATATTACGTCCACATTGGGGGGGTTATATATATCTCTGCCATCCATACAGCCTGTGTTAACTCAGTTGCTCAGTTCGTGGTTGGAGTGATGTGCAACAGATCAATGATGAAAAATGTGTCTCTGTTGAGTCTCCTCTGGTCTCTGGTGGAGGTCCACTCTCAGACCTTTCCTTATGTCTCCTTCAACGGCACGACTCTGGCCAACAATTCCTATGTGAAGTGGGAAGATCTGACTTTGGTGGCAATGATGTTCAGTGTATCACTGACCTGACCATATGTTGTACTAGTAGCTGTGGTCTTCATCGTGGAGACTGGTATTTCCCCAATGGAACTAGACTGCCATTCAATGTAGCTGGTGTTGATATCTATGAGCACCGTGTATCTCAGAGAGTTGACATACGTCATAGGAACAATGCTAACTCACCAACTGGCATCTATCGCTGTGATATTCCAACTAATGATGTCAATGATGATGATGACATCTCAGTGAGAGACACAGTCTATGTGGGACTGTATACTGACAGTGGAGGTAAAAAGTAGTTGTAGTATAATAGTTGATGGAATGTCTCTATTGTTGCCATAATTATAGGTAATGTCTTGATACCTGGTGGTTTGAGATTTACCAACCTCAATGAAGCCAGTCCTCAGTTCACCCTCACCAGTATCTCCACTGGTGGACCTGCTACCACTGTCACTTGGACCAGAGACTCCACCACTGTCACCCAAGGAACTGTGACTGTGTTGAATGACCCAGTGACTGCACAGTACACCCACACTCTGACTGTGGCTGGGAGACAGGGAGGACTGTACAACTGTACTGTAAGCAATAATAAACCATCTATGGTCTCTGGAACGTTGACTGTGAGAGGTTGGTTGTCTCCACATGCCTTAACTACGTCCTCAATGTAATGTTCTCTAGTTGCCTCAGCTCCTACTAATCTGATGTTTGAGGTTCAAAATGATGGTACTAGTGTCCTACTGACCTGGACCCCACCTGATCCACTGGGAGACACCACTGGCTACACCATTTCCTACACTGGAGGAGGCAGCAGTCGTAGTGTAGATGTCAGTAGTGGCGATACCAACAGCTACACTCTGACTGGTCTTATAAGAGGGGAGATGTATGACATATCTATTGTAGGCACTTCAGAACATATTTCCAGTGAGAGTGTGGAGTGGGAAACTGCCACTCAAATTCCTGGTGAGCATTATAATAATATAACTAGTTGGTTCGTTTTATTACCCAATGATATGGTCTGACTGGATTCTTGTCATTTGTCAATACAGTTCCTGCATGTGAAAGCAGTGGATCATCATCATCAGTAGCAGTAGCTGCTCTTGGTGGTGTGTTGGGAGTGGTGATTGTGACTGCTATAGCAGTGCAGGTTATGGTGATAGTCTCTTTTCATGAAGAAACTCCAAAGAGCTGAAAAATGCACTACAACTGCTGCTGGGCCACTAAAGAGGTACAAACACTTGGGTAATTAAGTGTAGTTTGCACATTTTCTGTTTTTTGCCATCTCCTGATTTGCAGAGCTCCTCCTGAGTCATTCAAGACCACCAGTAACGAGGCGTACAATGCAGTGAGAGAAGAGACCGGAGGAACTGATGATGCATATGAGACTGTCATGCCTTAACCTTTCCCTTCCAACCCTCACTCCACAACCTATAGATACTGCAGGATCGACCACTTTATAATTTTTTATAGTTGCGTTGCCGCCACACATGCCAGAGAATGTCTTTTTAAGGATTAGTATTTGTGTAACTAATTTCATTTCAGTTTGATGATAATGAATCCAGCCATTGCTCTGTTTTGTCAACTGCAGTGTCACACATCAGCTTCTGTGAAAAAATAAAAACTTTGCCGCTAATTGCATGAGTAAGGACTAGGCCTGAATGCTGCACAATGGCGTCACATGAAGTGCTTACCTGGGTGTGTTTACGATAGTTAGAAAACTCTAATTCTACGACTGATTCTTCTCTCTTTGCTTCCTCCAACTGTTGTTTTAGTGTCTCAATCTCAGCCTCTCGACTCCCCAGCTAAACAAGTATACATCCGAGTGAAATAAACCACCTTAGTGACACAATACCTTGCCGTGGAGTAGCACCACTTCATGTCTCAGTCTCTGCATGAGACTCAGCTGCTCACAGTAACTGGAAATGGCCAGCTCTCTCCTATTGCAATTTCACCCTGTAATCTGAGAGAGAGACATTGATGGCGAAGCTCACTCACCAAGATCTGTAGCTGTCCTCACACAGAGAGAGGCTGGCCATGCTGTTGATACTAGTAGCTGCATCACTACCTGAAGATATAGTACACAGAGGAACACAGTAGCTAAGGTATCTAGCCTTGAATATACAATATACCAAGGCCTTCTATTATGTAGCCATTGGAGACTTCGTTTTTTGTGAGTACTTCAGGGAGAAGGGAGAGGGAGAGAATTGACTTACTCGGCATGATAGGGGTGTACCTTTCCAGTGAGGGTGTTAATCTTGTTGGTGAGTTCGTAGTACATGGCCTTTAGACCCTCATAGCTAGCAGGTGAGCATGTACACATAGGGTAGCAGGGAGAGAGGGTGTGGGGAAAAGGAGGATAAAAAATTGGTTAATGGTGTGTTTTGAATAAGAAAGTTCCCTTATTGGTAAAGTGTCCTCATTTCAGGGGTGAAGTCCGTGATAAAAGCCTGTTCATAATTTCTGAAAAACTCTATTTGTGGGTCTCCTTATTGTAGGAGTGTCCCCATTCCATACCTTGACATGCGGATTGCAAGTATCCAGGAGTCTAGCTCAGGCTGTGAGAAGGCACTGAGTACATA